GTCGCGGAGGGCGACATCAAGATTGGCGAGGAGAAGATCGGCCTGGCCGAGGCGCGGGCAGTCGGGTTGGAGACCTGGCTGCGGGACGCTGGCGAAGAGTACCTGACCAGCGAGGTGAGAGGCTTCTGCAGGGTTGCCGTAGAGTTGGGCGCAGTGGATTTGATCGAGACGTCCACGCCAAGACGCTTCGCGGGAATGGCGCAGAAGTATGGGCTCCGTCCAGGGCTCGCTGCGGACCAGAGCGAGAGTAGGCCTGAATCGGGCGAGCGTCGGGACTTCGACAAGGGCGAGGATGCGAAGGGGCCGGGGGGTCGAGTGGGCCAGGAGGAGCCGCGCGCGCTGATGGGGAGCCCGTCGCGCGACCCATTCAGTCGGTCGCGGGCGATCTTGCGACGCAGTCGTGATCCAGAGGCGCGCGGGGGCGCGCTCAGGAAAGGCGGGCAGAATCTGATTGCAGCGGCGAACTTCCACTGGCGGCAGCTTCGGGCTGGTAGGTATCTTCCACGCGAACATCCAGCAGAGACAGACTCTTGGAAGGGGGGCTGCATATTGAAGCTCAGGAGCAGGCGGGGTGTCTACACTGCGGGGGTGGCCCATGTGCTGCTGCGACATGAAGCCGGAGAATTTCGAGGAGCGCACTGGCGAGCTTCACGTTCTGGAGCAGACCAGGTGGATGACCATCTCGACGGGGCTGGCCAAGGCGTTGGACTGGTGGTGCGTCAAGAAGACTGGCGGGCCGCTCCGCGCCCGCGCGCGGCTGGTTGGCGGCGCGGCGACGCATGCAGCAGCGTATCCCGCGCGACTCGTTCGCGCTATTTTGAAGGCGGTGAAGGAGCAGGTGCGCCGAGATCTGGACGTCAGTGCTGTGGAATTGGCCGTTGCAGGACCTGCGCCTACGGGGCCGCGCTATCCGGTCGACGACCAGGCCCGACTGAGATCCAGAAGATGGTAGAGTTCAGCGAAGAGATCCGAGACAACATCACGGGCGAGATATTTCCTCCGTAATTAGTGAATGAGGTGAGAAAGAAGGAGATATAGTGGACTCGAAACGTCAAGTTGTACGACAATGTATCCATGAGCGAGATGGAATCCAGAGGTTTCAAGACTGCGAGCACGCGATGGGTCGACGTAAACAAGGGCGACAAGGTTAATTACAACGTGTGCTCAAAGATCTGCGGCCGTAAGCTCAAGGCTAAGACCATGGGCCAGTTGCTTGCGCAGGAGCTTTTCAGCGCGATGCCACCGTGAGAGGCCATCAAGGCATTGTTTTCTCTCTCGGTTGCTGACGGTTCGGTGGAGGGCGCGGAGGGCCCCGATATCGCCATCTTCGACATCGGCCGCGCGCATTCCATGGCGCTGGCCAAGCGGGAGCTGCATATCGAAATTCCCGCCGAGGATCGAGGCCCAGGCGACGAGCGCATGGTCGGAAGGCTTACTCGCAGCATGCGCGGGTTCCGCGACGCCAGCAGGAATCGGATGGACGATGGGCAGTAGTTGCTGGAAACCGACGGGTTCGATATCGGAGTGGCGAACCCAGCGGTGTTTCTTCATCGTGGTTTGGTTCTACGTGGTGGAGTGCGTGGTGATGATTTCGTGGCATTGGGTCCTCGTTTGGGACTCGACCAGATAGGCGCCACTTTGGCGTCGAGGTATTCCGCGCGGAAAGAGGCAGGCTAGGCTTCGCGGACCACTGCGTGAAAGAGGCGACGATGTTCAACAGAGTCATCAGGGTTGGGTATAACCGGGGCGGCCGCAAGCTCGTTGAGATTGAGCCAGGCGCCAGGCACTCGGAGCTCATCGCGCAGGCGCTGGTGCTCGGCAGGGGCAACGGCGTGAACACGCCGAGCGTCACGCCGACCGATGCGGACATTGAGCGGCATCTGAGGTCACCGCCACGATCTTCAATGGCAGCTTCGACATTCAGATCGGCTGTGATGCGCGCGAGTTTTCTCGCGCAGGACAGACGCGACATCGGCGAGGCTGTGAAGACGCTGGCGCAGAGGATGGCCAAGCCGACGGAGGAGGCCATGCAGGAGTTGAAGCGACTGGGGCGATATTTGGTGCACCGTTCGTGCGTGAGCTTGATCTACGAGCAGCAGCGCATGTCAAATCACATCCTCGTGTCCGTCGACAGCGACGACGCGGCGGACTGGCTTACCAGGAAAAGAATTTGCGGCCTGGTCATCAGGTTGGGGAGGCATGTGATCAAGGGCAGCTCGAGCATTCAATCTGCATTGGGTTCGAGTACTGGCGATGCCGAATTTTATGCTGTAGTTCATGGGGGATCCCATGGAGTAGGGATGCACAGCTCCATGCGCGACCGCATGGTGGAGTTGGACGTGATCGTGGAGTCCGACTCCACGTCGGCCAAGTCCTTCGCGTCCAGGAAGGGCCTGGGCAAGCAGCGGCACGTGCAGACGCGGTACTTGTGGATTCAGGACCGCGCCTGCAAGAACCATCTGAAGATTCAGAAGGTGCCTGGGAAGCAGGACGTGTCGGATATCCTCACCAAGAGCGTTCCGGTTCTGAGGAGGACATCGCCGGCTACGGGTAGTTCCGCGCTGGCATTACTAGGAGGAGGATCGAGCCTGGTCTGATTCAGGCAGCGCTGGCGCGACTGGCGCGACGGTCCTTGCTGCGGGTAGCACCGCGCAAAGGCACCCTGAAGCTGCGGGTAGCTGAAGATTGCGTGTTGGCTGTGGGCAAAGGTCCGAGGCCACACTCCGTTACCTCGAGCTTGAAAGGATCTGGACGTTTAAGGTGCCTCCTACGTCCTAGGAGAGGTGGTCAAATTTGGGTCATCCCGCAGAGTCTCCTGGAGCTTTGGGGGGGTAGCTTTGTTAACATGGGTCTTTAGAGCCAGGGGGACCCCATTTTGTTGATAGCCAGTGTCGCACTGAATGTAGGCATGGTGGCTCACGGACTGGTGAGCCCAAACCATGACTTAGCAAAACATGTCATCATGTGCGCACGTATGTGCGTGCGTGCGAATTGAACGTGAGACCAATGATTGAGTTGTCTGTGACCCCCCGACCAGGCCCTCGAGAAATTAGCTGGTTTCAATGTGAACAGAACCGATACCAGCAATGGCCACACACACACGCCGCAATCGCACCGACAAAAGGATTCTACATTTCACCATACACGAAGTGCACCAGTAACGCCAAAAGGAGCAGAAGGAGTTGGAACTGGAGCGAGACCGGCAGCAGCAGGACCAACGAGGAGAGGAGCCCTCGTTGGGAGGCGTGCCCATGAGCAGCAAGGTCGCCAACGTGCGCACTACGCCCAAGGCCGCGCCCCCTTGTCCCCCCATCTTCCGCTTCTCATTTCTCTCCCTCCTCGCCTTCCTCCTTCACGCTCCTCCACCATACTTCTCCTCCTCCTCGTCCTCGTCCTCGTCCTCGTCCTCCCCCACACTCTGCCTCCCCCACACTCCTCTTGGCAGCCGCGGTTTGCATCCGTCGGCTGCCTGATGCCAGACCCTCTTCCCTCCCTCTCATTTCCTCCTCGCACGCTGTACTGCACAAGTGCTCCACATGCTTCTCCACACTCCTCCTCCTCCATTCCTCATGTTCCATCCCTCCTCTGCCTTCTCCGTCCCTCAAACTTCCTCCTCGCCCGCCCGCTTACCCCTCCACCGCTGATCGAAGGAACGCCTCTGGCGAGTCGCCGCCGGCCGCCTAGATGTGGCCTAACGGCGGGGCTTGTCGGGGGTCTTTTAAACGGAAAAAAACGTCGCTTGGGGTCTCGTGTGCTAGCCCTGGGACCTCCTGGGCCTTTTTGGCGGGCCCCCCCTTTGCGGGCTGTCTTGCTTTTGGGCAGTCCTGGAGGTCTCCAGGGCGCCTCGCCTCGTCGGCCACTATGCAATACTTCGGGCTTGTCTTAGGCCTTAGGGCTCTGTCTTGCGTGCTGCCGCCCTCTGGTCGTCTAGGGGTGCCTGTTGGGGGCGTATTGTGGCCTTGGAGGGCTGTCTTGGAGAAGGAGGAGGAGGAGAAGGAGAAGGTAAGCGAGACTCAGGCCCCCCATTCACGTGTTTCCCTTCTTTGGTTGCCCTTTTGTCCCAGATTTTTCCCATTGGCCTCCCTACTTAAGGGACCCTGTCCTGGGGCACAGTAGGTTAGGTAGGGGAGCGCACGACAAACCATCTCGGCACATCGATACGCCCGTACATGTACATGTGTGGTGCACAGGTTACGCTACGCGTGCACGGATTGAAACGGCTCCCGTTCATCTCGCCAGCAAATTCATTTACAATTCCATAGATGGGTACAAATCCTACATGGCCACCTGATATTGCCATCTCGATTTCCCGCCCAGGCTTCCCTTCCTGGAGTTGGGTCGGTATTCCTTGTCCTCCTTCCTGCCGTCTATTCGCTCCCTGCGCCCCCACCTCCCGCCTCCACCTCCCCCTTCTGCTTACATTCGCACCTTCTTCATTCTGCAGCATAGCAGTAGCAGTATCATCAGCTGCAGCAGGAACATCAACAGTAGAAGGACTATCCGAGTAGCAGACGTCATCAGCAGGAACAGGACAATGCAGCGGGGACACATCGAGTAGTAACGGTAGCCATGGTCCACGCACATGCGCTGATGCATGTTCGGCAACCCGTGAGGTAGGAGCAGCAGTGGCAGAGGGAGAAGGAGGATGCGGCGCGGCAGCCAGTCGACGGCCTGCACGTCAGATGTGCCGAGGCCATCCCTGGGGCTCGCCTCAGGGGGTTCGCCCAGGGTCTAGGTGTCGCGTAGGGGTCCTAGGGCTCGTAGGGGTCGCCTGGAGGTCGCCCGCCTAGGGCTACTGGGGCTCACAGAACCTCCGCAGCGGCGCCCAGGGCTCGATCGGCCCTCCTGTGGACAGGGGATGCTTTGTCAAGACACGGGGGAGGGGGGGGGGCGCTCCCCCTTCGAGCCTTCTCCCCAGGTGAACATGCGAGACACGAGCATTACCATCCAGACTCGTGAGGCGCTCCCCCGTCATGCGCTCTCTTGCGGCGCTCGCGCGATGGCCATCTGGAAGAGGGATGTATATATATATATATATATATATATATATATATATATACAGAGAGAGAGAGAGAAACAACAATTAGAGGAGAGCGACCGAGAGCGAGAGCGCGATGAGCGGTGGGAGGGATGAGAGGGATGAGAGAGATGGGAGGCGGGGGACGCGCTGGGCGCGAACTCGGGAACGCTGGGAGGATGGCATGGGGGAGCGCCCTTCAGGCAGCGCAAAGGGGTGTCAGAACTAGGGGGGTCACCACCACCTACTGGATATCGAGGATCGATCAAGGATCGAGAGGATGTTGGGTGCTCTCGGAAGTCATGTTTGGCTATAGGCAGTCCAGGGGGTCCATTTCCTGACGGAGATGACGACACCCTTAGTAGTGGTGACCCCATTCGCGTTGTCATTTGTCATGTCCTCCCCCTCCCCCGCTCTCCCTCCCTACCCCTGCCCCCCGTCTCCCCTCTCATCTCATCTCCCTCGTCCTCCCCCCCACCAAACATATCGTCCCCCCCTCCCCGCCCCCCCCCCCCTCCATCCCTCATTACCCCCTGGCTGCTTCGCTCACTCTTCCCTCGTCCTCACGCTCCCACCAACACAAACAACTCGTTTCCCCCCTCCAGTGGGGTCGGACGACGTGGGAGTACGAGCTCTTCTGCACGCAGCTGGTTTTGGGCCCTCCGCCTAGCGCCTTCCTCGATACATTGGGTAGTACGGTGAGTATATCGTGGTTCGAGCTCGAGGAGGAGGAGGAGGAGGAGGAGGAGGAGGAGGAGGAGGAGGAGGAGGAGGAGGGGGAAGGAACACCTGAGGACGGGCGATGAGCAGGAGGACGAATAGGAGGAAGGGAGGCTGAGGGATGTAGGGAGGGCTTGGGGATGGATGGAATATGAGAGACGGAGGAGGAAGAGGAGGAGAGGAGGAGGAGGAGGAGAAGGAGGAGGAGGAGGAGGCGGAGGAGGAGGAGGAGGAGGAGGAGGAGGAGGAGGGGATGGGGGAGGGGGAGGGGGCGGGGAGGGGGAGGGGAGGGGGAGGGGGAGGGGGATGGGGGGGGGGGAGGGGGAGGGGGAGGGGGAGGGGGAGGGGGGAGGGGGTGAGGGGCGGGGGAGTGGGAGGGGGAGGGGAAAGGGGGAGGCGGGAGGGGGTGGAGGGGGAGGGGAGGGGGAGGGGGGAGGGGAGGGGGAGGGGGAGGGGGGGGGGGGAGGGGGAGGGGGAGGGGGAGGGGGGAGGGGGAGGGGGAGGGGGAGGGGAGGGGAAGGGGGAGTGGGGAGGGGAGGGGGAGGGGAGGGGGCGGGGGAGGGGGAGGGGGGGAGGGGAGGGGGAGGGGGCGGGGGAGGGTGGAGGGGGAGGGGGAGGGGGAGGGGAGAGGGGAGGGGGAGGGGGAGGGGAGTGGGGGAGGGGGAGGGGGAGGGGGAAGGTGGAGGGGGAGGAGGGAGGAGGAGGAGGAGGAGGAGGAGTGAGGAGGAGGAGGAGGAGGAGGAGGAGGAGGAGGAGGAGGAGGAGGACGGAGGAGAGGAGGAGGAGGAGGGGGAGGAGGCGGGGGTGCTGGGAGGGGGAGGAGGTGGAGGAGCAGGAGCAGGAGGAGGAGGAGGAGGATGATGAGGAGGAGGAGGATGAGTCAGGAGGAGTGTGGAGCAGTGTGGGGGAGTGAGGAGGAGGAGGAGGAGGAGGAGGAGGAGGAGGAGGAGGACGAGGACCAGTGGAAACCCAAGCACGGTGTTGGAATCCACCCTCCCTCCAAGCTTCCCCTTCACAGGCCCTTACAATTCTTGACGCTTCGCGTATCCCCACCAGTGCCAGAGTGAGTCTTCTCTCATCGTTGCATCCCAAGCCAGTCACTGGTGACCGTCACGCCGGCCCCCCCAAAGCAGCGGTGTGGTTCGTGGAGTGAGTGCTCTGTCGTTTCCTGCCGTTCCTCTGCCTCTGTTTCCCCGACGACCCCACGTACGGCTGTGGTGTCCGTGGACTTCGCGTTGAGTGGTTCAGCCTTCAACGACGTCGTTCCCGTTTTTCACTGCCTGCTGTCGGCTTGGGGAGCTGCTCGGATTTTGGCGCCGCCCGGGCGACTTCCTCCGTTGCATTCGCACTGCTGGCCGCTTGTTCACTTCGGTGTGGCCGGCGCCTATGTGCGTCTGCCTCTCGAATGCGGAGCATTTTGCTCAGTGCATGTGCACCTCACGCATCGCGTGTAATTTGCCTTGATCCGTAGTCCCGGACATCGCTGTTGCCGCCTGACCGTGGTCGCGCGGCCGCCGACCAAAAAAAATTCGCCGGCCCAACGGGCCAGAGGCGTGCTAAGATCTCCGGTAACTTGTTAACAATATTTCTAGTTCGCGCGCGCGGAGCGGCCCCTGGGGGCCCCCGGACGAAAAGTACCCCGGCAAGGTCCCGAGAGAAGCCCGGGAGAAGCCACCAGACCACTCCAGGGGAGGGTATTTTTCGACACCCCTCACGAGGATCGTGGCCTCCGAGGGGGGAGCCGCAATCGACTACCCCCAAGAGCCCCCCAAGAGGCCCTGGGGGCCTCCAAAACGCCGCCAAGGAGCCCCAAGAGACTCCCAAGAGGTCCCCAAGAGGCCCCCAAGAGGCCGGCGGCATGAGCGAAACGATTAAATATCACCACCAGCTCCCTTCCTACATCCTTATGCCGCAGCGGTCATTTTTTGCACCCGGGTGCTCTCCCTCCTGTTTCACAGGGTTTTTCCCTGGCAGCTGGGGTTTGCTGCCCAATACTGCTTCCTGGTGGCTTTCAGGTAAGGAATTCATGCAAGAATTCACACAGGGAATTGACCGGAAGGTTCCAGTGGGCCTCTCGCTGCAATGCCTACCTTACGGTACCTGGACCTCGGGTTCGGTAAGTGTGGCTCTGTACGTTCGTTGGCCGACGTTCTCCTGCCTGGACTTCGTTTTCGAAAAGTGTTACAGGTTTTACTGCTGTTTGCAGTATTTTCGGTGATGAGGTTGCCCCTCTTCACTCTTGCGCCGACACGATGTCCTGGCAATTGTGTCGCCTACTGCACGGATGTCGTCTCGGTGTGCCTGTCGGTCTAGTTCGTCTCTGACGGTGCTGTTTGCCTGACTCACACCGAGCGATCGACCTCTGCGTGTTTACGGTCGCGCTGCCGCGCCATTTTGGCTGCGCTTACTTGCTGGTCGCCACCGGGATTTCCAACGCCACCGGGTTTGGGAGTATCGGTTCTGGCTCTCTTTCTGAGTGGCTGCCCGCTCGCTCGCTTCGCTTGCCTTTCTTTGCCTGCTGCCTAGTCGCTGCCCGACTAGTGTTCGGACGGCTTTCGACCCGCCTCGCGAGCCTGTTGACCAAAAGGTATCTCCACCAGTTTGTTCGGGTGGCTCGTTTACTTTTGGCGCCTGGCGCGACAAGGTACAATTCGTTTGCTTTCCCGGTTGCCTCGCCCCTGGAATGGTTGCACTTCAGCCGCCTGGCACACCTGGCACCTCTTGCAGCTCTGCCTTCAGTCCCCGGCGTCGCTCCTCGGCGACAGTTTCGGCGGCCGTTAATTCGCGCGCTTAGGTAATTAGGTTTGGCTCGTAGCCCGGCCAGATTTCGGACGCCGCCTGCGTTTCCGCTTGCGGCCGCGACGGGAAGTATCCCCATCAGCCCATCCAGACACGAGGCTGCCGGAGGCTATCCTGAGCTCAGGGATTTTCTAGGGCCCCCTTGTGGGGCCTCTAGGGCCACTCTTGGGGCCCTCTTAGGGCTTCTTTTGGGAGTCTTGAGCCCTCTTGGGGTTCCTTGGAGGGGTCTGGGAGGCATCTTGGGCCCCAGGGTTCAAAAGGAGTGGATGTGGAAGTCGCCCCCCCCCCCCCCCCTTCGGATGCTATTACAACAAGGTGTAGTGGGGCCCCTTGAGAGCGACGAACAACAAATTGCGGCTTGATCCCAAATGCTGCAGATTGCGCAAGGATGAGCGCTGGCGCGGATCGTGCGATGATGGCGCAAGCAAGCGAATTTACAGCACAACCCACCAAACAACAGGTTGATCATATTACGACACACTTCTTCATCGCATTGCTGCCAAGGCGCCGTCGCAGACATTGCGTGAACCATGCGAGATCGTAAGGAATTATTTAACCCCGCGTGCGCTCGATCGCGCCAGCTCTTCCTAAAAGCAGCGCGCGTGCGCTGACGCGGTGGAATTATCGCCCGTGCACAGAACAGACATGCTTAGATATTTTGAAGCAGAATATGCACGGAGGTAAGTCAGAATCCCCCACTGCGGTGATTTGAATGATTCTCGCGCGATAGTTTCACCTGTCTGGGGGGGGAAACAAGATTATCTTTGCCGATGTATGACATGTCCCAAATCTGGTGTTTTAGCAAAAACCAGAGAAACATAGTCTGGCGAGAGACCCAACCAGACGCAGTTGTGAAGACCGCAATGGTAAATACAATCTTCGCCCACGTTCCCTATGTGGCCACGGCTCCCCGCCGGAGCCCGACATGGTCCAGGGCACGTTCGCGGCCGCCTTCGCGGGCGCCGATGACGACGAGGACGGCGCCCCCTTACCGAGGACAGGAGACAGGAGAGGGCTCTGAGAGCCATAAGGGCAGCTGCCATTGGCGTTTTCGGTGGAGCTCCTATGGGGCCGCGATCCTCGTGAGGGGTGTGTCGAAATGGCCCGAGGCCGCTATGCGAACCCTGCCGCTGGGGCCTTCGGTGGAGCTCCCTATGGGGCCGCGATCCTTGTGATGGGGTGTGTCGGAATGGCCTTAGGCCGCCACGCGAACTTCGCCACTGGGGCCTTAGGTGGAGTTACTTATGGGGCCACGATCTTTTTCGGAGGTTCGCCGTCGTGGCCCGGGGCCGCCGTGCGAACCGTGCCAGTGGCGCCTTCGATGGAGCTCCCTACGGGGCCACGATCCTCGTGAGGGGTGTGCCGAAATCGCCCGAGGCCGCCATGCGAACCCTGCCACTGGCGCCTTCGGCGAAGCTGGGCCACGATCCTTGTGAGGGGTGTGCCGAAGTGGCCCGAAGCCGCCGTGCGAGTTCCGCCAGTGGGACCTTCGGTGGATTCCCCTATGGGGCCACCAAACGTGTGAGGGGTGTGCCGGAATGGCCCGAGGCCGCCATGCAAGTTCCGCCACTGGGACCTTAGCTTCCGATGGGGCCACGAAATGTGTGAGGGGTGTGCCGAAATGGCCCGAGGCCGCCATGCGAGTTCCGCCACTGGGACCTTAGGTGGAGCTCCTTATGCGGCCACGAAGCGGGCGAGGTGTGTGCCGGATTGGCCCGAGGCCGCCATGCGAGTTCCGCGATTGGGACCTTAGGTGGAGCTCCTTATGGGGCCATGAAACGCGTGATGAGGTGTGCCGAAGTGGTCCGAGGCCGCCATGCTAGTTCCGCCACTGGGACCTTAGGTGGAACTTCCTATGGGGCCACGAAACATGTGAGTGGTGCGCCGACATGGCCCGAGGCCGCCATGCGAGTTCCGCCACTGGGACCTTCGGTGGAGCTCCCGATGGGGCCACGAAGCGCGTGATGGGGTGTGCCGAAATGGCCCGAGGCCGCCATGCGAGTTCCGCCACTGAAACCTTAGGTGGAGCTCCCGATGGGGCCACGCAGCGCGTGATGGGGTGCGCCGAAATGGCCCGAGGCCGCCATGCGAACCCTGCCACTGGTGCACTCGGTGGAGCCCCCTCTGGGGCCACGAAGCGCCAGATGGGGTGTGCCGGAGGCCGCCATGCGAGTTCCGCCACTGGGGCCTTAGGTGGAGTTCCCGATGGGGCCACGAAGCGTGTGATGGGGTGTGCCGACATGGCCCGAGGCCGCCATGCGAGTTCTGCCACTGGGACCTTAGGTGGAGCTCCCGATGGGGCCACGAAGCGTGTGATGGGGTGTGCCGACATGGCCCGAGGCCGCCATGCGAGTTCCGCCACTGAGACCTTAGGTGGAGCTCCCGATGGGGCCACGAAGCGCGTGATGGGGTGTGCCAAAATGGCCCGAGGCCGCCATGCGAGTTCCGCCACTGGGACCGTAGTTGGAGCTCCCAATGGGGCCACGAAGCGTGTGAGGGGTGTGCCGACGGAAAAACCTGTGGAAGGCAGAGGCAAGGAGGGGGAGGAGGAGGGGGAAGAGGAGGAGGAACGCGGGGCACCGTCTCTTCAAAACGAGGACCCAACACCACAGGATGGTTGGGAAACAAATCGTATCGCAATATACTTATAATATCAAATCTTGAGGGCCACTGGCGTCCGCCAAGGGCTGGGAAACCGCGGCGGTGGAACACCGCAAGGCCCTGGGCCCGACGCCGCGTGAATGACTTGGAGGGGGCAATGGACCGAGGCTTGGAGGGGCTATCCGACCAAGACCCCAGCGAACACCTGCAAGAGATGGCCCGCGAGGGGGCGCCTTCCCAGCAACCCCTGGTCAGCGCGCGGGCCCCCCCCAAGTTCCGCGAGAGCGCGCGGGGGCATGTGGGGGGGGGCGATTGAAAAACTCTGGAAAAGGCGCGAAGAAGGGGCGCGTCCCACTGCGCGGGAAAAAATAACCGAACTTTACCTGCAGGGCGCGATGTCCTCTCCGCGGGGGAGAGCCCCAAAGATGAACCCAGATCGGACGGCGTCAGAGAAGGGGCGGTTCATCCACGACCAGCAGGCGATGAAAGAGACGGGCTACAAGCACCACCGCCCCCCTGTGCTGCAGCCCCGGCATCGAGCCCTCGCCCTGGAAATCCTGCGGTGGAAGTCCCGGCGCCCGGGCATCCCGATTTGAATAATACTGCGGAGGCTTATCGGTGGATTTGGATCCGCGCCCAGGGCGCCGGGATGTTCGCAGCGGAGGTGCCGGGGAAAACCATTGGGATGGAGGGCAACGCGGTGGCGATCTACCTGGCGTTCGCCTTCGGGTGTATCGGGGGCCGCTTGGGCCTCAGGCCATCAACGCGGAGAAAAAGGACAAGGGAGGGGGATTCGCCCTGGAACAGATTTGTTGGGGGACCTACGTCAATGCCCTGGAGGAGACCCTGGGGCCCCCAGAGGAGAAGGTCAGTAAGATCCAGCTCGTGCTGGTGGAAGCTACCTTCGACGCGGGGAATGCGTCCGTCCCCCTCAGTGACGTGCAGGCCCTGCGGGGCCCTCAACCTCGCCGCGGTCGCCTGCCCCGCCCACTTGCTGGAGTTCGGGGCCATCGATCGGCCCATGAAATCGGCGGGCCCTTTTTGGGCGACGGCGGAGATCACCTCCGGAAAACCAGGAGAGGCGGAGGCCGCGTGGAAGGAGTCGTGGGAGGCGCTGGAAACCTGACGGGTCCGTGCGGAGGCCCCCCAAGCCTGGGCGGCCCACTCTGGGCTGAAGTCCACCCTCCAGCCGCGGGAGCGCATGGCCCTGCCGGGAGGGATAGACGAACTGGCGTGGAAGGGGGGCGACGCCGCGGTTGAGGGGCTGCGGGGGGGCGCGCGCGTGGCGGAGGGGCAGGGCGGCGTCCTCTAGGGCGCGGGGGGGCGTGGGCCCATGCGGACTCATCCCGAGCGCCCGCCAATAAAGACGTCTGCTCCTCCCGCTACTCCCACCCCTGCGTAGAGCATCGGGGCCGCTTGGGGGGGTATGTCTCGGCTAGGGGGTCTTAACCCGTTCAGCGGCGTGATTTCTCCCATGCGGTTTTTTTATTTTTCCTTCGTGTGCAGCCATTTGGTTTAAGGTTGCGTGCGCTTTTCCACCCGCCCTCCCGGCAGGGGGACCCGCCCGCTCTACAGGGGCGGGGCGCGGGCCCATGCGGACTCATGGCGTCCACCAACAAAGACGTCTGCTCCTCCCGCTACTCCCCTCCCTCTGCAGAGTATCGGGACCGTTTAGGGGATTTTTCATGTGAACTCGATCGGAACTCGTCGCGTCTGACACGTTCGGAAGAACAGGGCCGCTTTCAACCGCCTCATCCACAATGATATCGACGACCTTACTGTCGTTGCGTTCGGGGTTCAGCCAGGGACAATTACCTGTGTCCCAGAATGACCCAGTACATGTCGATCGCAAGTGGCAAGGGTGGGCGCCCACCCATTCACCAAGTATCACGACGGAACAAACAGCTGATCAGCGGGAGGAATCAGAGGCAGACGCAGCTACCGTTTCCGAGGACGGTGATCTGCTAGCATTTCTCTGCGCCCAGTAGAAGCGCCCCATGTTGGAGTTGCGGGAACATACTGTGGACATCCAAGAATACACGATGGGGAGACATGAAATCTGGTACCAGACTTGCTGTGGCGCTTGCGAGCAGCAGACGCTGTGTTTTTTTCGGTGTAAGCGTGGTCTGTGCTTGATTTCTGCTTGTGTCAGTGAGCAGTGCTTGCTGGTTGTGGCTTGGAAACGGGATTGCTTCGCTAATTACCCCTTTTACTAGTTTCGCCGGACTCATCATGATTGACGCTCGGATCGAAAAAAGGCTGTGAAACTGTTTGGTTCAAAGGCTTGGAAACCAGTAGAAAAGATCCGAGCTAGAGTGGTAAATTCCTTGGAGTTTTGTCAAACCTCTTGCAAAGATGTGTATGTATGTGTGCGCGCAGAAATGTACGGGTTCATTCCGCTGCTTGCGTCCAGGTCGGTTTCGCGAAACTACATGGCACGAAGTAAAACATCGTGAACCCCATTTGCCGTCATAAGCAAATCGTGGATGTATTCTCGGCACTGAGGCACGTTGCGGCACGTCAAGGCAAGCATGATAATGATATGGATAGCCTTTGTAATTCCGATCCCAGCAAGGGGAAATCATCAGTTTCGTGCAGGGTTGCGAGTATGAGTAGGGGGGCAGAAAAAAGGTGGAGGACAAGTAGGAGGTGGAGGAAAAGGAGAAGGACAACGACGACGAAGCTGACGATGACGAGGACGAAAACGGCAAAATCGAAGAGGAATAGGGGCTGCTTCATCTCACTCTGGTTGTGTTGCCGGCAGTTAGTGGGTTCGACGCGATTCGCCCGTGTTTGTGACTTGAAGTGCCATTTTGAAGACCATCCTGGGCTATCTGAGACCATCTTGGGGCCACCTCGGGCCAAACATGGCCCGCTGACACCGACCGTCAAAAAGCGACTCGGGATGAAGAACTGGTCTTGGGGAAAGCCCCCAGTCTCCAGCAGTCTTCTCCCCTTCATGACTTGATCTCTCTTTTATTTCAATAACCGGGGGCTTCGAGCGCCATTCTTCCCCTAAGCACAGGTTGCCTGCCTCTCCCCCCCAGCCCCTCCGCAGTCGTCCTCCTCTTTGCTTCTCCGTTCGTTGACAAATTGGCGATTCCGTTGCCCAGGTTGCCAGTCCATCCGGGTTGAGCGTCCGCCAGCGTTGCTATAACAAAACGTTGCCTGCCTTTCTCGTCTCGTTTTTGGTCTCGAAAGGCCGGGTTCGGCACGCTTGACCGGCCCGCGCGAGAAAGGCGGATTTCTCTCGTCCCGACGCGCCGGACAGGCATTCTTCGACAGCCAGGTTGCGGGCAAGATCACGGGCCACCAGAGGACCATTACCCCGACGCGGAAGGACCGCGCGCGCCTCCGGGGCAGTACAGTGAAAGCATTGTACCTTCAGGGCCTCATTTGGGCTCAAGAGGGGCTATGGTTTTCAGGCCGTTTATCAGATCTGGGTCGCGGATTTTGTTTTTGGCTGAGGCTCGCAGCGAACAGAACAAGAAAATCTGTCGTTCCTCATCGGGCTTTCTTGGTGGCGACACGACAGAGCTCCTCGCGGTCCCACCACTCGTCGGAGATCGTGGTACCCTGGAGCCAACGTGGCTCCGCAGGGCACCGTCCTGTTGCCTCAAGGCCCAGCGCACGTTCCTGGCTTGATCAGGCTCGCTGCTCCAGAGACGCTTGGCAGCCAATTCGTTGTTCCGCCCAGTGATGATTTTGAATCCAGCTGCATTGCATAGTGCATCCAGTTATCCCCAGAGACGTTAGTTGGAGCGTATAGTGATTGTCATGTCATGTCATGCCATGTCATGTTCTCAGGCTTACCTGTCAATGCCTGGGGCCCTGTCCCCCTCTCCCCGCCGGCGCCTGCACGGGGGCTGCAAGGTTGAGCCGCCGTGGCGGAAGGAGGTGGAAAGGGGGGCGGGCGGGTGAAAGGGAGTGGGGGGGCGGAGCCCACCCGTGGAAGTCGAGGTATGAGTCGAGGTAGATGTCGGGGGGCGGTTTTCGTCTATCCTTTTCCTTTCTTTCAGATCCTCTCTCCCCCTTGACGCCCTGTACCTGCCCCCTTCCCTTTCTTTTCTCATTCCTCATCCCTCCCGCCCTTGCTCCCTCCTACACCTTCCTTCTCTCCTAATCACCCTTCCTCCTGCCCTTCATGGTGAATCCACGTATTGGTGTTCCGTTTCGGTTTGTGTGCGTGTGTGTTGTGCCTGGCCACATGTGCAGTCGCATGCCCGTGCAATCTGAGCCTATCCCGGCTTCGCGCCCCGCATCGAGGACGAGGTGCGGTGGAACAAGGCACGGCAGCGGGCGGGCGGGCGCGCATCGGGGGGTGGGCATGCGTGCTGACGGTTGCGCGTTCCGAAAACAGCACCAAAAGCTTAGATGTGATGGCGTGAGCGGACCCCCTTTGCTCCGAGTTAGGGGTCGGTGGATGCGATGTCAGTATGCTGACCCACCGAAGGATATCACACGTGCACGGCACCCGTTATTCAGAAAACCATAATTTCTAGTATGTCTCAAGGGGGACTGGTCTGGAGGGCGGGTTGCCGGCGCCGTCGCCGCCGCGTGGGGCTTGGGGCAGTCCCCACGCAGGTTGCGTTCCCCACGGGTTTTGAATCAATGATGGGCGCACGTCGCCACCGTCGCCGCCGCGAGGAGTTTGGGACATCCCCAGCTCTCCCCACTGCCCCGGTTGCGCGCACCAGCGACGAGAATGAGGAGGTGGACGGTGAGGGGGAGGAGGAGGAGGAGGAGGAGGAGGAGGAGGAGGAGGAGGAGGAGGAGGAGGAGAAGGAGATGGCGACGGGGACGTGGAAGTGCCCAGATGAGTTCGGCCGTCTGAGGCAGGCATCCCTGGGCACATCACACCTCCCGTGCTCTCTTCTTGCCGTCCTCGGGGCCCGGTCGCTCTGAAATGCCCATCGTTCGTTGAAAGCAGGTGCTCTGGCACTCCCATATTCCAATCATCTGTTGGCGCATTCCTATTTCAATCGTTGTAGCGACAACGGCAACTACAGGATGAGTGAATCGGCCAGCCAGTTCTTCTGCTTCACCCCGCCCCACAGCACGTAAGTTTAGTCTTGTCGGCGCCGCGGCGCCACCAGCTTGCCCCTCGTATGGCCGTTCCGCGGGACGAGCAAGCACAGTATCCATGGTCCGGCGTCGAATTTTGATCGCCATGTGTTTGCCTTCTCCTCTCTCTTACCTCTATCGAGCGGTGCCTCGCGCGCGTAGACGCTGCCAACCGAGGGTCCAGCCCCTCGGATGTTTCTTGAAGGGGCGACGCCTCCGTCGCCTAAGCGGTTCCCGTTGACCGGACCCTGGAAGCCCCGGCAGAGGCGGGCGACGGCCTCCCAGCGAGATCGGCCCTCCTGTTCACGAGAGGTCAGGTCTTCGGGCGGGCAGCAGCGTTGCTTGCTGAGGCTTTGCGCGCTCCTCCCTGGCTCCTTCTCCCCACCTCCTCGTTCTAGTCCGTCTCCGCCCTCCCCCGTTCTCCTCCCCCTTGGAAGCACGATGTGGCGGCACTTCTTGCTCCTCCTCGTTCTTCCCCTTTTCGTCCCTCGTCCTCCTTCCTGTCGTTCTCCTCCCCCTGCGCTATGGCGCGGTACATAGCGTCTCTGGGCCGAGATCGGCCTGGCGTGCGAGGGTAACAGTAAGTGTTGGGCTGGCTGCGTTGGCCAAGCGGGCAGGCCCATGTTTTCCTTCGTGGCCCACGGACACTCACATCGATCTAATTGTTCGCTAGTCCCCCTCATCCTCTTCCTCTTTCTCGTCGTCCTCCTCCCCCTCCGTAGCCATTTTGGCCCAAGCATTGGAAGGATTTTTGTGTCTAGTGTCTGTGCAAGTTGCTGCAGCCCAAATTGTTACTTCACATGACCAGGATTCGCGCTAGGCGCGCCCGCCACCGTTCCCCGCGGCTGCGGGAAAACATACTACAGTAGTAGTTTGGGGATTCCGTGACATGGAATCGAAGGTTTGCCCCAAGAAACGACTGACCTCTTGTCGGATTGCAAGCGAGCGGTCGACGAGCAACGGGCTGCTACCATTCCGGCGCGCATGTCCAGGAAGGGGAGCACCGGGCGCATTTGCCGAGCCCCTTTTCCGTCGACGTCCGCTCGCCGACGGCAAATCCGCCACGAATCCAGCTGACCCGAACCCCCGTGATTCACGAATTGCTCATGGAGCTCATTCTGTATGTTCCATTCTGCGATGTCTTGAGTTTTGTGTTTCACGGTTCATTGTCCTGGATTTGTAAGTGTGTTGATTTTTCTGATGGACAGCGCATGACAAGCCTTCGGCATGCCTTGATGGCCCTCATCAAGCCTTAATATCCCTTCACAGCCCGTGGCAAGCCTTAAGTAGCACCGCGGCCTGTCAAGGCTTACGGCTGTTGGCCAGGATTGAACGCTGACGGACTGGATCTCCGAGTTGACATTGGTTTGGGCGCACGTTCGTGCGATGGACAACGGAGAGCTCCCCACGCGCGCGGAATTCTGTATTGTTCACAACCGAATAGATGCCACGTTGGCATGGAAACGAAAGTGAACCATTAGCGGTGGCCAACCGGATTCCGGGTGACCCACGCGATGGGCGGTTCGCACGACGCGCGTGCGTCAGCGCGTAGCGAATTCTGTATTGTCCGCAGTTGGCAAGTACCTGTGTAGGTCTGGAAACTAAAGTTAGGCTTAAGCGGTGACGGGATTGATTTTGAAGTGCTCATGGGTTCAGGTGTACGATTTCACACATGATCCATAAAGAGATCCCCTACGCACGTGCGCGTGCAGGGTTATGTGGTGTCCGCGGTTGGGAAAGTCGCCATGGTGGCTTGGGAGCCCAAGTGGCCCCTCAGCGATGACCAATCGGATTTCGTGTCGCCCGCGCGTTGGGCGGCTCTCTCGCCGCGCGTGCGCGCGCGTGGGGGTTTCCGTAATGGCCACGGTAGGACAATCGCCGGGCCGCTCTTGAAACTAAAGTGAACCCTTAGCGGCGACCAACAGGATTTTGGGTGACCCGCGCGGTGGGTGGGTCACCAGCTGCGCGTGCGCGCTCGTGGCGAGTTTTGTAATGTCCACAGTCGGAAAGTCGTTATGTCGGCCTGGCAATGGAAATGAATCCTTAGCGGTGACGGATTCGATGTCGAAGTTAACATGGGCTCTGGTGTCAGATGTCCCCACGCGCGCGCGCGCCTGAGGAGCTCTGCGTTGGCCACAATTGGAAAAGTCGCCACGCTGGCTTGGGAACGCAAGTGAACTCTTAGCGGTGACCGACAGTATTTCGAGTGACCCGCGCGGTGGGTGGGCCACCCGCCGCGCGCGCGCTCGCGCGGCGCCCCACAAGTGGAAAGTCGCAATGTTGGCTTGGGAACAACAGTGAGTCCTTAGCGGTGACGGATTTGATGTTGACGTTGACACGAGTTCTGGTGTCAAACTTGCGCACGCGCGCGCGTTGGGGGTTCTTCGATGTCCACAATGGCACAGTCGCCGTGCTGGCCTGGGAGCGCAAGTGAACTAACTCTGAGCTGCGGCGGGTGACCCTTTCCACCGCGCGGGTCACCCGAAATCCTGTCGGTCGCCGCTCAGAGTTCACTTGCGTTCCCAAACCAGTATGGCGACTTTTCCATTGTGGACATCGCAGAACTCCTCGCGCGCGCGCTCGCAGTCTTGACCTCGCGTCAACGTCAACATCAAATACGTCACCGCTAAGGGTTCATTTAAAGTTCCAGACCAACATGGCAACTTGCCAATTGTGGAGCATGCAGAACTCGCCACGCGAGAGCGCGCGCGCGGCGGGTGACCCACCCACCGCGCGGGTCACTCGAAGTCGCGTCGGTCGCGGCTATGCGTTCACCTTCGTGTCCAGGACGACGTGGCGGCTTTCCTGCCGTGGGCGTTTCGGAACTGGCCAGACGCGCGCGCGGCGGTGTCGGTCGCCGCTAACAGGCTACTTGGGCTTCCAAGCCAGCATGGCGACCTTCCGACCGTGGACATTTCAGAACTCTTAACGCGCACGTGCGTGGGGGGATTATTGCAGGGATCATGCGTGGAATCGCACACCTGAACTCATGTACGCTTCAATAGCACTTCCGTCGCCGCTAAAAAATCACTTCTGTTCCCAGGCCAACGCTGCGATTTCTCAACTGCGGAGCGTGCGGGACTCGCCACGCGAGCGCACGCGCGGCGGGTGGCCCACCCACCGCGCGGTTCACCCGAAATCTCGTCGGCCACCGGTAAGCGTTCATGTTCGTTCCCATGCCAACATGGCGACTATTCGATTGTGTACGCTGCAGAACTCAGCGCGCGCTGGGAGTCCTGCAGTGCCCATCGTAGGACATGTACGCTCAAGCGAATGTTGACTTGGAGATCCAACCTGTCCGCGTTCAACCTTTGAGAACAACTTGAAGCCTTGACCGACCTCGACGCTGCTTAAGGCCTGCCAAAGGTTGCCAAGGCCTACTCAGGCTTGACAAAGGCCGCCAGACTTTGCCAAAGTCTTACCACGCTCTGCATATGAGAAAAAGATATGACAATTCGCGGAGGAAAAACCAGCGAGATATGAAACACAAAACTCACGACATCGCAGAAAAACTGGCATAACGAACGTCAGACAACTCGCGACTCACAGGGGCTTGTGTCTGCTTGATTGGCGGCAGGTTTGCCGTCGGCGAGCGAGCGCCAACGAAAGGTGGCTCGGCCGGTGCGCCCGCTGCAGCCCGTCCAGGAGATGCGCGCTGGAATTCTAGCAGTCGGTCGGCCGTCGACCGCCCGCTTGCTACCCGACAGGAGAGCAGCCGTTTTTTGCGAGCCTCCGACGGCGCGCACCCGAAACCCCGAAGTACTACTGTAGTGCGTTTGTGTCTGGCCGCGGGAAACAGGGGCGGGCGCGCCCGGCGCGAATCTGGCCCAAGTGAAATATGGCTATGGAACAGGAGTTGAGCCAAGAAAACATCCCAACCCAAGCCACGCAACAGCGAGCCGCAGCCTTGTTGCTCAAGCGGGCTAGGCATGTCCCCTCCTGGCCTGAAGTGGTAGGGCCCGCTCGTTGTGCCTGGTGAGATGGCGCGGCAGGGCGCGGGCGATGCGCGCCCAGGTTTGATCCACATGGCGCTAATCGCTCTGCTGGTCGCAAGGCCAGCCGTTGTAAAGGGCGCGCGTCGGCAGGCAGGGCGCCCCTAAAGCTGCGCGGTGAGATGATCCGCCTCGGCGGCGCGCTGACCAATCGCATGCTCGTGCTGGGTGAACCTGGCGTGGCGGACGAGCTGGTAAACGGGCTGTTGGCGGTGGCAGTAGCGCTGGCTG